TTGCAATTGTTACATCACCATTGAAACCGTTGACAACCGAAATAGTAGCAGTTCCCGTACGTCCACCAATATCCAAATGGGCCACTACAGAAACCACTAGTATAACTACAACACGAATCAAACCAGTAACTACAGAAATATCGACAATTTCTGCACTTCCATCAACATCCATAAGAGCAACCACTGAAATCATTATAGCAGAAATCACATCTCCTATTACAGAAACAACAATATTTACAACTGAATCAATCACTGAACTTGCTACAACTGAAGTAATAATAGTAACCACAGAAACACTACCTACATCAAGTAAACTACCAGAAGTTCCAGTAGAATTAACAATAATGACTTCGAAAACAGTATTGGTTAATAAATCTGTAGAAGAAATCGTCGAGACCACGTCCACTATGGAAATGATTACAACCCTCCATACTGTTGAACCTGAAATTACGCAATCTGTATGGTCTACTTCTGTCACATCCAAATCTACTACCGAGACTTCAATTACAATTGCAGAATCATTAATGGTGTATTTCACTACTGAAGGTACTAAAACAACAGCAACATTTACAGAAGCTGAAAGTACTATGCCTGTCTCTACAATCGAAATCTTAGTAGTGACAACAATTCCCATTCAAACTACGGAAATACCAGAATTAAGTACAACAAGTAGGACCATATTTGTGGAAGCATTGACGTTGAATATAACTTCGGAAGTTGCTGAGACGATAACTGAGTCCGTAGAGAGCACCACAAAGAGAACTATACCTCCTGCGACAACTGGAGTCTTGGTTGTAACTACAACCACTACCCACACCACTGAAATACCTGAAATCGAATCTACAACTGAAAGCGTAACAGCAACGATAGAGACTGCAACTACCATACTTACGGAGACTACTGAGATTACTGAATCGAAGATTTCTGTACCTTTTACGATAACCGAAGTTACGACAAGTACAGTAACACCTATTACAACTAGTAAACCAAAACTAACAACCGAAACATCAATTGAAAGTATGAGACCTTTTACAGAGAATGTAACTTTAGAAACTAGTAAACTAACAGAAACTACAGAAACTGAGAGTAGTACAACCATTCTTACCACTGAAAGCTTGGTAGAAACTACTCTTAGTACCGAAGAGCTAACAACAAAATTATTGCCAGTTGCTACAGAAACTTCTGAGACCACTGAGTCTACAGAAACAAAAAGTACTTTGCTTACCTCAACAACAGAAATTCAAACAGTAACTGCAGTTTCCATTAGTGAGACGACAGAAATTACAGTTGCATCTTCGACCGCAACTAAGGTACCATTCACAGTGAACGTAACAGAAGAAACTACAAAAACAACAGAAACTATAGAAACAGAGAGAATTTCGATTATTTCTACTACTGAACGTGTAAAAACGACTACAGAGACTCCTACATCTAGTTCCGAACTGCCAAAATTCACAACTGACTTTTCAACGAAACCTGCAGAATCTTTTACGACCAATGTTACTATACAGACTACTACAAAAATGGAGTTCACAAAAACGGAGACTACTAAGACTATCCCAATAACTGAAATCATCATGCTAACTACAGAAGTACTAGTTACCACTTCTGAAACACCAGAAACTACGATTGAATCTACAACTAAATCTATGAAACCGGTTACCGCGAATGTAACAATAGAAACTACTACAACAACGGAAACTAGTGAAACAACTGAGTCTACCGCAACTGAAAGTATCGCAACTATTTCTACTACAGTGATCGTTACAACGGAAGCTACAGTTCCTCGTACTGAAGTAACTGAAACATCCACAAAATCTTCAGTGGTAACTGCGGAATTTTTAACAATAAATGTTACTGAAAAAACTACTGAAACAGCTGAGTCTACAGAAACTGAGAGTACTATGTCTATCTCAACAATTGAAGTCGAAACAACTACGACTGAATCTCCAATTCCTACTAGTGTGGTACCAGAATTTTCAACCGAATCCTCAATAGAAACTATGGAACCTGTTACTGCAAATATAACTGTGGAAACCACTAAGATAATTGAGTCTACAGAAACTAAGAGGACCAAGGTTATATCGACAACGGAGGTTGAGATAACTATTACAGAATCTTCAATTTCTACTAGTGTGGTATCAGAATTTACACCCGAATCTTCAACAGAAACTATGGAACCTGCTACTGTAAACGTAACTGCAGAAACCACTCAGATAACTGAGGCTACAGAAACTGAGAGGACCAAGACTATACCAACAACAGAGGCTGAGATAACTATTACAGAATCTTCAATTTCTACTAGTGTGGTATCAGAATTTATAACCGAATCTTCAACAGAAAGTATGGAACCTGTTACTGCAAATGTAACTGTAGAATCCACTGAAACAACTGAATCTACAGAAACTGAGATTACTGAGCCTGTCCCAACAACAGAAGGTGTAATAGTAACTACAGAAACTCCAGTTCTCACTAGTAAGTTACCAGAACTGACGACCGAATGGTCAACTATATCTATAGAAGCATTACCTACGAATGTCAGTACAAGAACAACTGAGACTTTTATCAGAACTGAATCAATTTACATAACCAATGTAACTAGCAAAGTAACCAAAGTACCCACTGAACTATCATTTAGTACCACAGAAGAATGGGAAACTTCAACTATATCTGCAAGAATTATAGAAACATTGCCAACAAACGAGACCGTACGAACAACTATTGAAATTACAGAAGTCACTACAGAATCTGTATTTACTATCATAGAAATACCTGAAGTTATCACTGAGTCCACAGTGTCGATAATTATTAACGAGGCAGCAGGGACGACCGAAGAAATATCTACATTTTCGATGACGGAAGAAATTACTTTGCCTTCGTTTGAAAATATTACCGCGACTATTTCACTCGTTACCTTTGAATACATGACTCCTAAAATTACTGAAGCAGAAATTATCAAATTTCCACATGAAATTAATGTAACAGATGTACTTGAGCTAACTAAAACAGAATATGAATCAGAAACATTTACTACAGGAATCCTCGAATTTCCTAAATACAAAGAAGCAGTTAACGTCACTGAATCTGTTATTTCTGTAGCGTTTACTCTTGCCAGCGAAAGAGAAACGCCTATTACAGAACTTACAACAATGGAAGCAATAGGAACCACAGAGTCAATGGTAGAATATTCCGAATTCAATATTAGTACACTAACGGAACCAGTAGAGTTCTTCAACAAAACAAATGTAACAACGACAGAATCGATTCTAGTTGTTACGCTTCCGAAAATAACTGCTCATGAGGAGCTCACAAAATCGACTATATCATCAAATATATCATTTACATTTGAAATCAGCGGTCTGCCCACTGGACCTACATTGTTGGCATCAAAAACAACGGAAACAACTTTCTCCGGGCCAGAATTAATAGAATTGGAGATCACAATCCCAAATCTAACAGTTATCACACCCCCATCATTATCACCTGTAACCACCGCTGTTTTATTCGCCCTTAATGAAACGACGGTTGAAGAGGCAATCACGATTGCTGAAGAATTCTCTTCTTTATCCTACGAAATGACTATACCTGCATTTACATTCCCAGTGAACGCCACGGTACTCGAAGAAGCTGTTACAACTGCCGAAGAATTTTCTTCCTCCGAAACGACTGTCGCTGCATTCACGTCGAATGAAACGACTTCCAAAGCGACCGCTGAAGCATTGTCCTTCTCGTCATCCAAGATTACTGGGACATCTATCCTCCCGATAAACATCTCGACAACACTGAAATCTCCTATAAGCGCCAAGAATGAAGTTTACCTCGAAACAGAAATTGTTCACGAGAAAGATTATGATAAAGAGTACGACGAAGAGGAAGAAGAAGAAAAAGACGAGTATAAAGAAGGTACAGATGTGTGGCAGGATTATTACGAAATGCTCTCTATCACTGAAGCAGTTCGATCAACGACTGAAGCCGTTGAATTAAATATAACCGTTACTACTTCCAACGTAACAGTTCCGACTGCTTCTGTGTGGCTAGCAGAAACTTCGATGGAAAGTACGTCAAAGGAAATTGTAGAAACTGGTACATTCAGCGTAACGACGGAAGGAATAAAGACGACAGAAACAGAAGAGGAAGTTTTCACTCTGACAACTGAAGTATACACATTGGAATCCACACCCGAATTTTCCACGGAATACTTGCCCCTCGATTACTATGAACACGTGAGTACTAAGGAGGATGGTTCTCCAGGATATCCTAAAAAGGTGACACAGATCAAAGAAATGATTACACCTTCGGTAGTAAGTACCTACGGTGCTCAATTAATAACCGATAAGGAAGAACAAAGGGTTCGTCACAAACAGATGAGGGAACAATTGCTGGACAAGATTGTTCAGTTGGAGAACAAGGAAAAGACGATTATCAACAAAGAAACTGAACTAGAAATAGAGGAGCATACCTGGGAGCGCGAGAAGTTGAGACGAATGCAAGAAGTAATCGAACAAAAGAAGATCATGGAAAGTCATTTAACCATTTCGACAGAAGATTTCGAGTCGTTCACAGAGAAACCTACCGCGCGTCAACCAATCGATACATACACACCCCCAATAACAGAAGACACGCTTCAGAAAGAAGTAAGAAGGTTAGAGGACAAGTTAATCGGAATAGAAAACCGTTTGAAAGAAAGGGAAAAGAATTTATTAGAAAGAAGGAATAGATTAGAGAAAGATAGAGCGGAGTTCGAAAAAAGGTTACAAGAGTTACAAAAACGACCATTGAGCGAATTGGAGGCTAAAATGACTGTGCCTAAAGCTGAAGGACCTATAGTAACGCGTACAACGCCGTCCGTGTCGCAATTGCCTCCTACGGAAAGAACCACGATAGAGATTCACGAACCGACTGCAGAAGGTGGAAAAGAAACGACAGTAATGAGGAAAACAATAACGAAAACAGACGAAGAGGAAGAAGAAGACTATGAAGAAAACTATGCCGCACCTACTATAAAAATCGCGAAACAGCAGTTCGTTACGCAAACGATTTGCATGAACGTGTTCGAGAAGGGAGAGAAGGAAATGGTGACTAAAAGAGTTTGCTTGCCGAACGTGGAAGGTTCGGGCACGTATTCCAAAGAGCAAAACGCAGAGAAGAAGCCAGTGAAGATTAACGAATTGCAGCTTAAAGGCCACGAGTGGACGGAAGGCGCGACCACAGAAGGATACGGCAGTACTTACGCGGAACCGCAAATAGAGTCCCCGGACAGGGAGAATAATAGAAAGAGATCGTTACCTGATGATGGAAAGGTCCGCTTTAAACGAAGCAACGCTTACGATGGAGGGTGGACAAGGTACACTGTTGACTCGGAATGTTGTCGTAATAAGAATGAAATTGATCGTGCGGACATGAAAGCTTACATTGATAATATATTCTTAGAGTATAAAAATGCCACTACCGAAACGTATAGAAGACTTAACGAAGCGCATACTGGAAATGATAAAAAGTGTACCGATGAGACTTTTAAGAAGCGGAATATACTGGGAATTCAAAAAGCGAAGAATAGTGAAATTGCGAAGAATGGGACAAGTAACGATGAAATAGAAGAGAACAATTCTGGTTTAGCAGAAAACCGAAAGTTCTTACAATGCACGATAGAGAGTACGCCATTGATCGAGGGTAATTTAACGAACAGCGAGCCAAGTCGGGAGACTTTGGCGGAGGAAAATGAATTCTTTTCAAACAAGGAACTTTATACTTCGAACGCGCGAAATTCTGAGTACGGGGAGTTTGTAGAAGCCCGTCTAGTGGAAGAGAATGAGCAGAGCGAGGATAATTTCATAATGAACACCTTAACTGATAACTATGAAGACGAATCAGTTACGGAGCCTATTGAATACGAAACGTACGAGGATCCAAATATCACGGACAACGAAGTTGGGAATAATGAGATTTATACGGACCGACGCACAGGGGATAACGAAGGCACTGGGGATGAGGACGACGAAGAATTAAGGACGAAAGGTTTAATATTTATTCCTTATAAAGATTTATATCCTTTATAAAATGGATTTATACTTGTAAACCTGTTTTATGCCTTTGATCGTTTAAAAGAGAATATTTTTAAAATATCCGACATTGATTTCAAGAGAAATTTAACGCCTTTATTATAAATTTAAACTCGTGTTGCAGATTTGAAATAGAATTTAATAAACATAAATATTACTCAATTCCTTTGAATTAAAAAGAGTATTAAGAAAATATATTTTTTTTTAATGCGTTTATTTATTTTTCAAAATTGTTGGTTCGTTGAAAATGTTAGCAACTTTGTTTTTGAAACATATAATTCTTTAAGTGTATTATACATATATGTAATCAATGACATTTATAATATTTTGCATTCGCGAACAAATTTCAAATGTGTTATTTAATACGTTGTTTTTTGTGTAATATTATAATCATAGGAACACTAATTTTCAGTTGAAGAAAAAACCCGACAACCACCTGGCCCCGAATGGCCGACAGAGCTGGTTACCCAATATCATATAGGTGGTACCAGAACGTGGAGCATAGAAACCGATGACATAGACAGCGAAGATCAAGACGATACATCAAAACAGTCAACCTGCTATGATATAATTATTTCTAGAAAAAAGATATTTTCTTAATATCTTCCTGAGACTGAAAATCCTGTGCACTATGATAACACTGAAATACCACAACCGACTTCGTCTGAGGTTAGATAGTGGAATACATGTTAAAAGCGACGAATTTAGAAACAGATAAATACGTGAACGAAACGTATAACTCCATAGAAATATCATAGCAAATTATAATGTATTTAGAAAGGCCGATTCACTCTTGCAAATATCTTTTTATTGAAAATACACGCAGGCACCATTGGCACAGGGATAAAAAACTGTGACATAATTCAATTTCAAGTAGTCCAGCAACAGTGAGATGTGACAGATAATGTAAAAAAATGTTGTACATATGTATATATCTGAAATTATACACGAATGGAAATGAAGCCAATTTAAAATTAATTTTACTTTGGTGGTTCTTAACCCGTTAATTATGTTCATTTTAGTATGGCATGTTATCATTGCTCTTAATCTGTTCTGTGTTGAATGTCGTAACCGCAGTCCGTTTAACAGGAAAAGCAAAGTGGTCTCTAAATATTAATAACGGAATTTATCTTCCACGACATGGTTTATTTTTAATTAAACCCAGATAGTTGTCTGGCTAATTCATTTATTCTAAACTAACTGTGATCAGACTGAATTATTTAAAGAAAAAGAATGAACGCGCAATTATTCGATAAGTCACGGTATCTTTCACTGAAAAATTACTGTAACGTATTCCTGGCAAATATTACAAATGCGAATATGTGTCATTAATTTTTGAAACATTCTTCGGTTATCATTCTTTCTGACCATTGAATTTTGTATTCCATGGTAATTCTTCATTTTTCTTCGCTTTTTTGTCGAAGACACATGATTTATCGAGGTTCCCTCGCGCCATGTACATATAAAAATTCTACGTCGCGTCTGAACGCGAACTTCAATATCAAGCGTCAAGACAATGGAGCGGATGTTGACGATAGCGGCATGCGAGACATCGCCGGCCTCGAAAAACGCAGGATCAGTCGGTGAAAAGTCGCCTATGCTGCCAGTTTCGTGTCCCACTAGTGATCGCTTCTATTTACATTTGATTAACAATAAAATAGTTTCACATATAACAGTCATAAGAAAAAACGAAAGTTAATCTAGATTTTTAGTGAATCCAATATAATCACGAAAATATTAGTAATTTTAAATCACATTGTTCTTCAAAAATAAACAAGGTGTATTATATTTGTGTACGATGAAAGAAGAGATGCACATGTTTACTGTACTTAAAATTTCAATTTTCTTATTGGTAAGTATTCTTTGAAGGATATTATTGGATAATTAATGTTTCAATTACGATAAATGTGATCGATCGATTAATTGTTCATAATATTTCACAATGTAAACGTAATACGATTGAAGTTTATTCGTGTAGAAGTTTCACTACAAGCTTGATGTGTGCGTTAATTGTTCTATTGAAATTTAGTACCCTTAAAAGTTAAACTAAAAGCTGCCTTCACAGTTGGTTGCTCTCAGGTCACCGGCTTGTCGGAAATCTCAGAGGCAGTCATTGATTACAGAGGAGTTTAACCTTTACTCGTGTTGAATATCGAAGAGATTAGATACTGTTTCCATTCAAAACTAATTACTATCCGATTACGTTTTTTAAATTATACATATGAGAATAAATACAAGAAAGTGGGAACACTTCACTGGTAAAGATAAGAATGTTTTAATACGATTAAAACTATGACTAATGAATGATTTATATAAGATACTTTTTTTTATACGAATAATCAAAATTGGAAGAAATTAATATGTCATTCGTAGAGATATTTTTGAAGCTCTTAAAGCTTCGGGTAATACACAATTGCTGTTTGAAATGGAAAAAGAAATAGAAAAAAGGAGAAAAATATATTACTTTATTAATAAATAATACATAACTATTCTTTTATACTGTAAAATAATAATTTTTACAAGGGAAATGAATATTTGTGAATCAAAGTTAATTTTATTTCACGGAACTGTTTTATAATGAACGTCTAATCGGATTGCGGCTCGAATATTTCAAGCGAATAATCTTATCTATTTAGACATGATACGCTAAGATGGTTAACGTATTTTAATCGTCCGCTTTTACAGATTCTTAACAATGTTTACTGTCAGATGCAATTGTACGAGCAATCCCGTCGGCCTTACTACTATTACAGAAGCCTTGACAAGCAACCTTCAGTGCCTCGCAACAACGATTCCGAGGCCCGTACTCCTTTAAGAATTGCTTGGGGGTGGCCTTTCAACCAACAGAACAGGAAGAAAGATGGTTCGTTACTTCATTGTTCAATAAATACCACAATACCCCAGTTAACGTTCAAGATACGTTCCCAGATATAAAAACGCTTTACTCAACGAGATTCAACAGGACTATTTCCCCACTATTTAAACATTTAAGTAATATTAATAATATTTTCATATTCTATATACATACGCGCGATGAGATTTGCTCTGGTTTCGATTAGAAAAGAACCTTTATATGGGAAATTAAACTTTATGGAAAATTCTGTGGAATTCCTTGTTCAATAACGTGTGCTAATTTTGTTGCAAATTTCAAAGTCTTGATAGTAAAATATTTCTTTATTTTTTTCTGACTCATTATTAGACATAAAAGATCTTAACACGTTAACATGTTGGTGATGCTAAACATTTTGTATCTTGCGTTGAGAAAAGTAGATTGCCCTCACGTGCGTATGTATTTACAATTCTAACTCGTGGTGTAAGGTATAGGAAGGTGACACGATATCTCTTTTTGAATTTTATTTGCAATTTATGAAGACGATTTCTTGCATTTAATGAAATATTGTAATCACAGAGGTTGTTACTGAAACAACGCTGGTTGCTGATGTGTTAAATGTTAACCCGTTACCCTACAATATCGTGTCAGACTCGTGAAAAAGGTTTTAAATAGAATTTGACAAATATAAATATCACTTAATTCTTCCAAGTCCAAATTAAATAATATTTTTCTATTATTAATTGTAATGCTTGTAAGTAAACATAGGCATAGGATAAATGTGGAACTGTCTTTTTTTCTAATGAATTATGAATAATAAAATATCTCTGCTGACCGCAATCGGGAGAGAAATTATATGACAAGGGGTTAAATTGACACGTAATTCAAACGGTTTTGTAAATACCATTTTTCAGATACCGATGTGTTGCCGAATGACAAGTTCATTTATCCCGATGATGTATTCGATAAACCTAAACTCGGACCAGCTCCTTCCTGTAATGGACAAACATTCTGCGAAGACGTTCCGGATTACCCGACGTATTTAATAAATGATGCATTCAAAAATCAGAAAATTACACCTTACCAAAGCGTGGACCAAGTTAGTTTTCTTTTAGAAATGTCTTTTTGAACGGTATTTTTTTCCGAATGATATTAGAAATTAATGAGAATATAAAATATTTAATTTGCATAATATTTAATCGGTATTTACTATAAAGCTATACATTTTTTGCTTTTTATTCTTATTTCTCTTAGATTGATCTGACTTTCCGGTTGAATGATTTTACCGGCGAATCGCTGTGTATATCCACTGTGAGTATAATCTGATTTATCTTTTGTACATATTTTTCGCGTCGCAGCTCATTTAAAAATATTCCCAGTACCTTTGAAAAAAATGAAACTTCTTAAAGCATAAAAGATATTGAAAGAGTTATGAAAGTTTGTAGCATGTTCAAAAGTAAAATAAACATCTCATTAAGATGTACAAGATTTTCGTTTCTTTTAAGCAGAAAGAACCTTTATGAAAGAAACATATTTCTATCAATTTATTTTCCAAATTTCATTAACAAAGTTGACATTTTGTGTAATTACCACCTTGACTTATAATAATGTGCCAGACTCGCGGTAAAGATTTTAAACAGAATTTAACAAGCATGAATACTACTTGACTTTTTTGAATTCAAATTAAATATCATTCTTCTGTTATCAATTATTATACTTTGAAGCAAAGATTGATATAGAATATGCCTATAATTTTATTCTTTTTCTTAATAAATTATTAATGACAAAGTAGTTGTATCGATCATGGTGAGTTAATTTAACAAGGATATTATATATTCTTATCTGAAATCCTCTTTAAATATATATCAGAACATATAGCCAGTAATTCTGTGTGTTACAATTTGATGTTTCTTTAGGAGCAAGTCATCTACCCGAAATCAGCAGAAAATGTAAACAATCAATGGTTGTATATCGTAAACCATCCCAATTATACCCAAGGAGTACGGATCGAGACCTGCAGGTAAGTAAACAAAGGTTAGCAATCGAATTCGATTATCGGATTCTTATGTTTATAATTTTTCCGGGGTTTCTCAGGAAAATGGGCGAAGGATGCAGGCTGATCGAAGGGTTCGCCGAAGGTTACACCACTTCTTGCGAGCAGAAATACATTCACCGAGAGCTCGCAGCGATCGTTAAAGACGGTTCGATTAGTCGTGAATTGTTCCGATTCCCAGCCAGTTGTTGTTGCCACGTTCAATTTGTCGGCACCTCCCTCCGAATGAGGGAGGATAGATCTATCGAGAACTTACAACCCTGAAAACAACATAAGCATAGATCTAATTAATCTAATTATTTAACACCAATTTTACCACTTTTGTATGCTTCTTCTTGCCTGTAATATGAAAATTATTACTATTTAATTTGATTAATGCTGTCGAATCTTCTGAGACTCGTTAATATATCATCATTGCAAATGTCAAAAACTGTTTCCTATTCTTAATGAAAATAATAAATTACGAGAACAAGATTAGAAATATTTATTTAACTATTACTAACTTATACTAAACATTATCAGACTAAATTATTAGTTTTTTGTCTTTGAAATATAGAGAAAAGAATAAAATTTGAGTTGACGATGCAATTAGAAGAAGACTTGGGATGGTGACACAAAATAGGGTGAACGAGTAAGAAGTAATCACCATAAGTCTCCACTCTTCAAGTATAGCACAGAAGTCAAATTTTATCATAGTGTGGAAGTTAGATGATAAGAAAAGAAGAGGTTCGCATAATGTTATAAAAGATCTTGAGGAAGATAAGTCTTGGGATGATGAGTGGAAGTGAGTTGGCTGAAAAGGAAATGTCCTCCATAACATTTAACCCTTGAAACAAAGAAAAGGAGCCAAAAGGTAGAAACCATTGGAAGGATAGCTAGAGAGGAAATGATCTCCATAACGTTATACAGTTGAAACAATAAGGTTTGAGCGGTTTTTATAGCCATAAATATATGTAAAGATGACATTTGCGGCGACCCTTAGTAATTCAATGGCAACAGATAACAATTCTAGCCGTGTTTGTATCTAAAATTGGGGGAAAACGGGGAGAGTACATTAAACTAGCAAATATTCAATTACCAATCAATTTTTAAGGGATACAAATTTTAATGTAATTATTGAATAAAATATTTGTTGTTCGTGCACGCTGTCCAGGCAATGTTAGTGGACGTTGCGTAACACTTTCACATGCCGAATTAACTTTGTGTGAAATAGTTGGGATGAGAAAAAGCCTCCTCCTTTTCTCGGTTGAAAGTGGACTGTATTTGTTGATTGACAATGAGTGAAAGAAATGTGTATGTGTGTACAAAATTGAAGTGTGTGTGTTGTCCAGTGAGTACAGCGTGATTTGTAATTAACTTATATTGTCTACATGTCTATCTTCTTTATCGTGAGTCTAACTCTATATATATATAAAAGTAAACTGACTATCTTGCAGAAGAGCACAGTAATACGTAAATACGTTTGTTTTCACTTCATTGATAATGATTTTGATGTTGTCCTGAGTAATGCTGACATTGACACATGTTATGTTTTTGTGTGAATGTTCGAAGGCACGAACTAAAGTACAAATAAAACGATCACACGTTTTCTCCATTTCCCTGCAAGTTTGACCTTGAATGACCTTGAGTCATAGGTCGTTGAATTCATCTTAAAACGCACTATTTGATGGTGGATAAAAAAACGTATCATTCCATTTAAAAAAAAAAAGTTGACCTTCACCTCGCCTTGGAGTGTCCACCAGGAAGAATAAAAGTTCCACCACATGATGCCTCCCTCGATATTGAACAACTTTCGTCTGAAACATTTTTACGTATAATCTATATTTTCAGAGATATTTGATTGTGTAACGCTTTATAATTTCCACCCTGTATATAAAAATAGTGGTGCAGGACGGTGTCCTTAGTGTCAAATCGGAAGGCCGAACGATCGGGGTGTTGCCGATAACAGTTTTTTAGCCTACGCCTACATTACTTGTGGTGGAGGTAAGAGGTACGTCGTCCCTTCTGACCTGCAGGCATACAGGTGGCTGCACGCTCGGGGTTTAAGTGGTTGAGCTATCGTTTTTTATGATATGTTAACTGCTGGTCAGTTATGACACCCGATGGGAAAGTGCAGCTATCAATAAAACGCTTCCAAAATTTACTTATATTATGTTAGAAATGAGCGAGCATGATTGTCCATACAATAAATCTACTCGCACCGACGGCTGTGTCGTACCCAAATAAACGGTGCCGGAACATTTGTCATGCCAGAAAATAAAGAGTGAAATTAGTGAATATGAGAAAAATGGAACACTCGATTAAGAAGGTTGAAATGAATTCATATATTTACATATTTATTGAATAATTTATTTATTCTAATCCATTAAAATATATTCGATCTATTAATTTATTTATTAATGTATTCATTCTTATTTTGCTTATATACAGCTACATTTAGAAAACATTCATGAAGCTATTTTCCCAATCTAGTGCATTGTATTGAATTGAACTTCTGTATCCATTTGTAAATTCTACCTTTAACTTCGAGATAGTTGCAGCGCAACGGCAAGAAGGTAGAGAATAATTTACTAATCTCCGTTGAATACTTATGCGTTTCCGAATCACACATTTCTCGTTCGGCGACTTGATTATTCACGAGTGCTAATCTTCACGTTACCTAGCTGTATCTGCGTTAAATATTCATAGACAAGTAACGTACGAGCATTGCGCCACAAAAGTTTAAATGCACAAATGCCACATAAACCCTAAGACTGTGACTTTTGAGATCTATTATCACAAAATTGCTGCAACAAATTACATTAAAATTCAAACTTTTTATTCATTTTGCTATATAAAGATATATAGTACATATATGTAATGGCGTGCAAGAATTCGTGGCCAGGTCGTGTTTGGACCTTTTCTTACACAATAAAGGCTTTAAGAATTTTTTGTTACTATGATCGTGACATTCAACTTAATTTCACGCACAGACTGTTTTCAAGAAATAAAATGAAATTATTCGTTATTTATCATGTTTACGGCTAATAAAGGTCAGTACTTTTTTTACTCAAAATTTAACGCCCTTTGATATTTTGGCATAAAAAATGTAGTATTTCATTTAGAAAAACGAAGTTGATCTTCATATCTCCGAAACATCTCGGTGTTTCACACAAAGTTGTTTCATACAATGCATACTTTAGAAGTTATTGGGGGTGAACAAGTTACGTGGACCACCCTGTATGCAAAGTTTCCCATATAAAAATATACAAAAATAATAGTTTCCTTATTACTGTATACGAAATATTATACATAATTGTTTTTATTTGTACACATGACGCTACATAAATTTGAGTTTGCATGACAAACATTATCAACGTTATCTTTCAATATTAACAGTATAAGGAGCCTATTTGTTTTTCTGTTGTAACGAAACATTTAAAATTGTCGTGGCATCAACGATACACAACGACTTTCTTTCAGTCTAAATAGCATGTACCTCGTTAAAGCTCAATCTACTGTGTTGTAACTTGGAGACTCGACAGTTGAACAGATCGACTTCAATTTGCAAGCGATTTCGCTATTAATTTCGTTGCAAATCGAGGGAAACCCACGGGAATTAGGAAGAGTTTTGTGTTATCACGTACAAATTGAAGCTTTGAGGATACAGTCGGGGATGCGGGTACACGCACTACGTTTATAAGCGAGTGGAAACTTTTGGTAACAGTAAAACGTAAATTGCTAGTATGAACGCATAAAGCCATGTACGGTATACGTGACTTATAATTATGATGACTTGCAGTATGGCTTATTTAGACGACTCGAAACATTTAAAATGTAGAATATTATTCATGAAATTACTTCCGGTGTATGCAACCTTAGCAGTTTAATTACTATACCAGTTAAAATAGCGGGTTTTAGTTCGTGAAATATGTCCGCAACGTCTACCAATATATTATCGATGTCAAATATTTCTAACAATTTCACTCGGTATGCAATGTGTAATACAGCTTCAAAATACATTGAATACAGCGCGATTCAGTTAGGAATTCTTATTACCACATAACGATCCCTGAATTATTCAGATTCATATACCGGCAAGTTACGAGGCCATTATGTTAATGCAATTTCCCGAAAAATAACTACTCTTTAATAAGCACTCTTCGTATTGCGAACTTCTGGTTACATCATCATCAAGTATTCTTTTTGTGAATCCCACGCAATGTACGAGTGGTCGTAGGTAAAGATTTAATTAAATAGAATGCAATGAAATAATATATCGCGATTTCCTGCAATTCCTGGCTTGTTTTAAAACAGACTAATTTTTTTTGAAAAAAAGTAAATTGAAACTGTGAAACGAAATTTTTCCACAAAGAACGCGTAAATACAGTCAATTGAATATCCCCGTTATTTATACACACGTATTTCACTTTTCTTACGTACTTCGCCTTTGTTTATTTCAATATTTATGACACGGATATCTTCCTGTTTGCTATGTTACATAAATTTGTCAGTACAGGTGACTGCACAAAGTTCGCAGCCAAATCGTTGTAACTAAAATTTGTTGGATCGTCCCTTTGATAGACGTATCGAGAAAATCGAGTTAACACTTATTATTTATATCCGTAATTACTTTAATCAGTATAAGTTTCGTGCCTGCTAACGACAACAGAATGACGTTAACTTACCGATCACCGAAACACGAATATCTTACAATACATTAAAGAGACACTTGTTGCGCTGAATATAATGTTTTCAAAAACTACATTACACACGAACCGTGAACGCTACATCCAAATATATCCAATCTATCTATCTAGATATCTACATCCAAATATCAGTGTATTTTTAACCTCACGAACTAAAATTGAATATATAATTAAAGTCTATACTTACCACTGTTAACCACTTAATGCACATCTTTGTAACATATACGGGAACGACGAATGGTTAAAGGACAATATTGAACCTCATTTATCTAAATTCATTACCCGGTTTTACTTTTTCTGTACAGAAAGGAAACTTCCATCACGGGGAATGAAATGGCAACAGTTTTGTGTTAATAATCAAATGGAAACATGAGTAATTGTTGATTTGAAATTCGCAATGGAGTCCATTAATGAATTAATAAACTCGTAGCTCGAAAGAGTTTGAGAAACATTGATCAAAGCGTGTTGTTTTCTAGATACATTCATTTTCTGAGGCGTGTAATTAACCAAGGAACACGCTCTGTTTCACTTCGAGCAGAATAAAAAGATACGGCCTGACGTGGCAAACAATTTTGAATTATTAATATCCGGGCTAGAATTCTGACAGTAGCGACGCGCACGAGAGAATGGACTTAGAGAAGTTGGCAGTGTCGAAAAGGCCGACGTCAGATTTGAATTGGTAAATGTTGAAAGGGAAAGATTTGAGAATATCTTCGCACGGCCGAGAATCTTCGGAGGATAACACATTCCGCTAGAAACGGAAGGATGTCTTT